AGACGATAGATCCCTGGGATTCTTTCAAATTACATATTTCAAAAAAACAATACACAGAAAGATCCCAGAGATTCTTTCAAATTACTTCAAAAAAAAAAAAACACAAGGGGCCCCCGAGATTCTGTCAAATTAATTTAAAAATAAGACGATAGATCCCAGGTATTCTTTCAAATTACATATTTCAAAAACAAGCGAAGAAATCCCCAAGATTCTTTCAAATTACTTCAAAAACGCAACACGAGGTATCCCCAACATTCCTTCAAACTACTTCAAAAACAAAACATAACAGGCCTCCGAGATTCCTTCTAATTACCTATATTAAAAACAAGACAAAGGATACCAGAGATTCGTTCAAACCATTTCAAAAGTAAAACACAAGGGATCCCCAAGATTCTTTCAAGTTACTTCAAAAACAAAACACAAGGGGCCTCCGAGATTCTGTCAAATTAATTTAAAAACAAGACGATAAATCCCAGAGTATCTTTCAAATTACATATTTCAAAAACAAGCGAAGGAATCCCCAAGATTCTTTCAAATTACTTCAAAAACGCAACACAAGGTATCCCCGACATTCTGTCAAACTACTTCAAAAACAAAACATAAAGGGTCTCCGAAATTCCTTCTAATTATATTAAAAACAAGACAAAGGATACCAGAGATTCGTTCAAACCACTTCAAAAGTAAAACACAAGGGATCCCCAAGATTCTTTCAAATTACTTCAAAAACAAAACACAAAGGGCCCCCCAGATTCTGTCAAATTAATTTAAAAACAAGACGATAGATCCCAGAGATTCTTTCAAATTAAAGATTTCAAAAACAAGCGGAAGAATCCCCAAGTTTCTTTCAAATTACTTCAAAAACACAATACAAGATACTCGTATCTTCGTGATTCTTTCAAGTTTCTTAAAAAAAAAACACAAAACACAAATGGTCTCAGAGATTCTTTCAAATTAGTTCAAAAACAAAACACATGGGGTCCCCGAGATTCTTTCAAATTACTTTAAAAATAAGACACAGGGTCCCAGAGGTCCTTTCAAACTACTTCAAAGATAAGTCATCATGGATAGGGACAGATGGGACCATCTAAAATCGGGAATTTTCCAGAGGCACCAGCAGCCGTGGTACACTACAGCGGGTGTCCAAATGCAAATTTTATATACTTTTAAATGAAGTAAAAGCCCGTCTTTCAGGCGCCATTAATAGGGAATTTGTCACTTTGAAAATCATATCTACATGAGAAACAGATTTATGTATTTAGTTGCACATTGACAATAAATCTACGGAAATGCATGACAGTAAACGGTAGTTTTGTAGCAAATAAATGATAACTGGTATCTCATGCATCATTGATTATTAAATATCTATAAATATAAACTGTAAGAACTGATAGTACACACATTTGTACACATTTTTATCGTGTTGACGCATTTTTATGGTAATTTTATACAAATATGGCTACATTTTTTTAATAGAATTGTAGATTGTAGTACAAAAAACATTACTGATTTTCCATAAATACCAAAGGAAAATTTGAATTCGTGCGCATGCTTGGGTTAAGGTCCACTCACGAGCATGCGCACAAATTCAAATTTACCCGCCAAAAGTGACCAGAACCCGCACTATGATAGTTTCATAGATCACTTTGCTCCATAAATTTCCAACCACACACAGAAGACACAAGCAGCAGGAAACCTAGATTCTTGTATTATAGGAAATAAGAGCACAAGAAAGCACACATTCATCAGAATAACCCTTTTATCAGTCGAAAATACCAAACTAGACACGTCAACTTTACCTACCGTTGCGACACTTTTAATATTTCTGCATTGTCAAGTCGGATCATGCGTGATCTCTCAACAAATACAGCGTCACATTCTGAATTTTTCATCCGCACTTATCTCATTTTTTGATTGTTGTTTTCCCATTGTTCAAACCTAAATTCAACAAAGGCGTCGACTGAGATATTCTTGTTTGATTTTATGAGCAATATTGAAACCAGATTTTCATGGTCATGGGTGTAAATCAATAGTTATTACGCAGTTAAAGTGCACGTGGCATAATTCTTCCAAGAAAATAGGTCTCTATGATTTTCTTTTACGTTTATACTGTTCTTGAAACGTAATTGAGACATACTACGATTTAAAATGGTGCATTAACACCGAAACAAAATAATGGAACGGCACTTAGTTTTATTATTACCTTCTTTCACTTACAGGAAAAATAAATGTTGGAGACATTCTAAAAATGACTGCTACTCAATGTTCTTAATGTTCGTAAAGGTCATGCAATTACTTTTTTTGGTTATTTAGGACTATTTATGGATTCTACGTAGACACTGTTCTTGGATAAGTGCCTAGTTGTAAGTGGAGATTTCCTTCTTAACAATTCGCTTATGAATTATGGGCGACAACCCCTTGTAATTAGTGACATTTGATATTTCTTTGATAAATTATCGAAATTCAATAGCAGCATGAGTGCTTTATGATAAATTACATTTAAAAAGATGTCGAGAGGATTCGTTCGACTAGTTATATGTATTTCGAAAGAATTCGCCTATTAAGCACTAAGGGGAAGACTAATGAACTAAACTACAATGGAGCAAAACCGCCCGAATATTATTCTGGATGAATAGCTGTTATCATAGTGATTGTGTTATTATTATTAAATATAGGCGGACGCCACATTACTGTATTCTTACATTTTCGAGAAAATAGTGTGAACCATTCTTAATTAAACTCAAAGGACATTCATAAACCACAATTACAGGAGTACTTGTCTAGCGATTTATCATTTATATTCCATGAGATATATAAAGTCTAACAACAATCGGTCCAGTAGTTTGGAAATTATGTCCAATTAAAATTAGACAGACAGACGGAGGGAAAAAAGGGTCCTACTTTCTGTAGTCTAGGGGTCATGAAACGTCGAAAAAACATGAAAGTAATTTATTTACCGTACGCTCTAGATACCTATTTTCGTAGTGAGACATATATGAAATATACTTGCAACGCTTGGCTATTAACAACTGCATTTTTATGATAAATGGAAACTTGCTAGAACAAGACCTCTGTTTTAAAAGAAGGGAATCCATCTAAGGTTGCCAATTATAAATCCGTAACTGTTCCTTCTATATTCGGAAAAGTATTACAACAAGTGTTTTACAAAAGGTTCATAAATCTTTACGAACGCACAGAAATATTTCGAGTTCGCCAATATGGATTTCTCCCACGGTGTTTAACTTTTTAACTGTGTCGAAATTTATGCGACTGGTTGAAGATGAAGGTTACATTAATCTAGTGTATACAACTTTTGCTAGTGCACTTGATTATGTAACAGATGAAATGTTACTAAACAAACCTAATCTCTTCAATTTTGCATTTTTTAAATTTTCTTCGACGGTGAAAATAATTAATAACGCGTTCTAAATCAAACCCAAAAGTACGAGGACAAAAACCATTTATTCCTACATTTTGTCAACAGCTTCAATAACAAAGAATTTACATTGAGGTTAAATTATGCGTTCTTTCAAGTTGGTCTTGGAAACGCTTGGCGTACTTCGAGCATAAATGTTCAAATTCAAGTCGCAAGAAAATTATTAAATCTGCAAGAGAATAATTAAACTTGAAACAAACTATTAAACTTGTAAGCAAATATAAGATCCTCCCGGTTTTCGAATCCACGAGGGTATGAATTTAACTGCAAATTTTCAAGGTATTTTCTCTCAAAAGGGACCAACGTTTTGATCAGTTTAAATGCCATAAATGAATCTGAATTATCGATCTGACAAACGAACCCGAAATTTTAATTCAAATTGGGACACCACAATACTTCTCTAAATTGCAAAGTTTACCAGTAAGGAAGAGAAGAAAAAAATTAAGTGTTCAGGAACTTAGCACTATATGACAAAATTTCTTTCTGTTTGTAATGGGATCTCCGTATCCTTGCTCGTGCTAGTGTAAACTACACAAAATAAATAATCATGAGTAATCTAGAAAATTGGCAAAAACGTAGGGCTTCCTTCTTGGCATGAATATACACAATATTGCCAACAACACACTTTATTAACCGCTAACTTGGTTTAAATTTAAACCTTTTGTAATTAACCGGTTTTGTTAACTCAGAACGAAACAATTATTTTCAAGCGAATTAGTGTGTGGCTGTGACAAAATTCAGTGTAAGTTTGAAATAACCTGAGAACTAGGACTTTGCACACAGTTCCGGCGCACTTCTCGTTTTGAAAATTGCCGCAAGATAACACCGCAGTGTTTTATTAAAAAAAAAAAAAAACCGTCAACAGTAAAAGCCTCGTTCCTCTGAGAGCCGACTCTCCGACGGAGACTTATTGAACGAGCGGTTGTGGCAATTTATTTAGTATAGGAAAACGCGATAGGTAGATAAAAGACGCTATGATCAACTGCTGCGGCTCGCAACCATAGGTGCATTTTAGACCGACAGTGAAAAATTGCTATAGATATTTATGCTATCGCTACCGGGTACTCGCAAACACGAGTAACTAATAAACTCGTGTCATTCGATATTCGCTTTCCGCAACGCCTAAACGATGGCCTTTGATAAAATTTATTGAACATAGTTTTACAGTTGTCCGCCAGCACTAAAAAAAGGTAAATTACGTCGCTTTATATCCATCTTATCAGTCGAAATAGCAGCACCGAACACTCACGAAACCATTGTCATTGAATCGGCCATAAAACTCCAACTGCCTCAAAATCGGCTATCACACCGAAACGCAACACGTAAATTTCCATTAAACTCCCAAACAGCAATTAATATTGATACCAGATCCTCACCAACGGGATTAAAGCAACAACCAGCACTCCCAGCCGCCAACACGCCAAATTCAGATGTAGAAAATCGAAGAACCGTTCCGATTTCCGACTTCTCCGCGCCACTGTACTCAACATAAACATAAACACAGCTCGTGGCGTAGTGAAAAGTGTACCGTGATCCCATGCAAAAGTGCAGGCTCAGTAGTTTGGTTAATATGAAGTTGGTTGGTGGTTCTCCGTGCTGGTGGCACCGAACGTGTGATTGTGGTAAATAAGCGCTCAAGTCCGCCTATTCAGCAGGATTAAGCGGCCAGACGGCACGCCAGTCCTGCGACGTGATCCTTGCAGGACTGCCGAATCGCAGGCTCAAATTAGCCTTCGCCTCACTGGTGACTTTCTTCTCAGTCGCTGCGATTGGTCAGATGGCGGAACTACCGGCAGTACCGGCACACGCGAAAACTGGTAATCCTTGCGGTTGACAATTTATGCCTCGTTACATCAGAGCGCAAACATCAAATATTAAAAGTCCAAATAAAATCGTCGTGGCGGGAAAAAGTTATCTGTGTCTGTGATAAAAACGGTGAATGTAAATATTTGAATGTGTTCAGTGCGCTGGGAGGCACAGACATGTGAGTTTATTGTGCAAAATCGTGATGTTGCGGTAATTAGTGGATTTACATTTTGAGATAAAGGTCGAAAACATGCGATAAGCCTTGAAGATGCCGGGCAGCGAACGAGTCAACGACGTTGTCAGCAAGGAGGAAAAAGCGAGAATCAAGAAGGTAAATGAGAAAAAATTGATAATGGACACTTCATTAAAATTATTGGCGGGGCTTGTTGACAAACCGAAATGGGAGGTTGTGGCGAGGTCAAGTCCATTAGTTCGTTTAATCCCAAATTATTCACAACCGGCACGAATTAGGTCATTAGAAACTGTCATCGCATCTGACGAAATTGATGAATTAACTGGGTAATACCACGCTAATTTTTTATAGCGGATTCGAGTTTGCACATCGTGACATGGGCAATGGATGAGAGGATCCAATTTCGCATTGTTCGTAACTGGGGACACATTTGACGTTTCTACATAGCGGAACGTTTTTTCTGTTCTAATAATTTATCACTATTCGTCTTATTTTTACTGTAAGTTTTTTATGCGATCTTATTAGTGCGAAACAAAAAATGTCATCACTTCTGTTCTTTGCCGAGCTTAAGAATTTTTAGTAAATCGGTACTGCGTCAAGTTCTATAAGAATTAGAATTATTAGTTTTCCGGCTAAGGCTAGACTAAGGTTGCTTGAAACTCAACTAATACAAAGTTTGGTTAAAAAAATTACATCACGAATTATATTAGCTTCGGTAGCTAAAAAGACAATTTTTATTACCTAAATACCGTTTAATTGATGGTTGGCGTGTATACGTAATCACGAAATCTGCTATAAATAGGTATTCGCGAACATGTTACATTTGAAATTATTTTCACATTTTCACCATTTATTATAAAGTAATTGTGCATTTATCAGCAAATGGTCAGAAATAGTTCAAGCGCCAATTTTGCATTGTTGTTTTTCGTTTGCGGTGTGTGAAACAAAACAACAAGTTTTGCCACTCAAAACTTGTTGTTCATTCAAATAAATAAGCCTAATCAAATCGATTTATTTTTAGTACGTGAGCAATTAATTTAACTTAAAAAATTGTTGGGTTTGCATTACTTGATTGTTGTAAGTTGCTAGGAAAGCTACGCAAATTTGTCAAAAAAATGTGGAATTCGTAACTTGATAATGGGAAACTTGATAATTACATTGTCATTAACATTTTAACGCGTAATTTAGTTTTAATTAAAAAAATCTCGGTGAATAGTTCTCGACCTCTTAATTTATAATTTTATCACCACTTTCTCTCTTCACGGGTTGTACACCGGGGTGTTACTAAGTAACGTGCTTTCGAAAACTGCAATAATTATTTCATAATTGTGGCTTTGGGTTGCTAATACTGAACATACTCAATACTAAATACAACGTCAGTACTAATACCAAATATTTTTCACAATTAATCAACCGTGATGTCTGTAAATTGACAATCGTTGGTCGAAAATATTACTGTTACTGATTGTTGACTAATATATGATTTCTTCATAGTACTGAGATACAAGATCAAATCTACGCATATTATTTTGCAAGATTTTTTTTTAGAATAAATTTTGAAAATTTTTACGCCATTGGTTTCAAGTAAAGTTTCTGTGTATAGCCCGATTTCGCGAAAAGGAGACGATTGGTTATATTTTCCCCGTTCCAGCGTTTGTAGGTCCAAGGAATTTGTTCAAAAGCTTCATAAATGTAACTTTTGACTCGAAGTGACGACTGGTTTTTGAAATATTAGATTTCATGGTACAATTTTTAAAATATCTCTTAAATTTTTCAATACCCTCTGTTCACAATTTTCGAAATTTAATGAAAGACATTTTGTTATAGATTTCGATTTCGAGAAGTTAGTTCCGGACTCATTTCTTCGAAAACACCTATTATTTTTTCAGAATAATTCACTTCATGGTATCGAAATCAACTCCTTTTCTCAATTTCGAACGTGTTCGCACAAAAAAATTTTGGGAAGTAGATTTACGTGAGCTAATTTCAAAAACATGAAATGCTGATAGTCCTGGTCCAAGATTCCTTCATTGAAGAATCTGGGACAATTGTGTCAATTTTATTAAAAGGAGTCCCTGCATTTGCGCGTGGGATTTTCAACACGTTTTCAAAATGTAACATATCCCATTAATATTCGGAAATTTTAAACGTAACTTGTCCACAGCTTACGTTATCCAACGCAAAACCGGTTTTTTTGTAAACAATTTATCGTCATCTTTTTATGATTTTGGTGAAATTTTTTCTTCGCGTACCTTTAAAAATCAGTATCTCGGTTATTTATGGAACTTTTGGAATGCGGTTTTCGCTACTGTTTTCAGCATACAGATGTCTAGAGATATAATAAATTCAGTTTTTGTCTAATAAAGTGTTTTTACTGTATCTCATAATATTGTTTGGGTAGTTTCAAAGAGTTCTTGAAAACTGCGTTTCGAAATTTCCATTAAAAAAATATATATGATGGTAAACTGATTTTTAAAAAACTATTTCAAATTTCATAACAACAATTTTGGAAGAAAACGTAAGGACTAGCTCTAAGGACGTATTTAGCGCGACTCTGAAAAACTACGAGGGCAAAAAGTCTTTACGGAGGAATATGGTGGGTCTATGAGAGAGAATAAACTTAAATTCACACTTCTAAATTCAAAATCGGATTTTGAAATTATCTTAAAAATTGCCAAACATATATGAGGTCATGAAAAACTTCAGGAGATCGAAATCGACAAAAATGTCGCTTTTGCTAAGTTTAGAAAGTGCTCTAGAAAGGTCAAACATTTCAAAATATTGAAAAATTGACTTTTCCTGAGTTATTGAAAAATCCACACAAAAATTTGTGTGACCCATATTCTGATTTGAAAAATATAGCGTATTCATGATTCCGGAGCCAGATTAAGGGCTAGTATTGAAAATTCCGGAGCAATTATGCTATGTTAAGGATCTACGTCCGGAAAGATAGGGTGGCCAACGATTATGGAAAAAATTGGTCGAAGATTACTTCGACAGAACTTCCCTCGCTAAAATTTTGAAAATATCTCAAAAATTGCCATATTTCATTTTGATAATTTTGGAAATAATTAAAAAACTTCTGGGCATTAAAAACCAACAAACCAAATTTTTAAGATCATGTTCGATGGCGCTCGGAAAAATATCAAAAATTGCCTTGGAAAAATTGAGCTTTTGGCGAAGTTGCCTTGAAATCTATAACGCATTCCATACCAAGGTTAGAGCCGAACATTGAAAATTCCGGAGCTGTCGTAGTGTTTTTGTTAGAACCTTTTTATATTATATACATAATTTTCCACGTTCTAGTGTTTAGAGCTTCAAGGAATCCGTAGAAAAACCACAGAAATGTAACTTTTGCCAAATGATATACCCTCTATCCTTCATTTTCTTAGAGGGTATGTTAATTGGCAAAATCGGTCTTATTTTAGCAGGTACTAACTCCGCCCTCCCACCCACCCTCTTTTTTCTTAGAAGATATGTCATTTGCCAAAATCGGTCTTATTTTAGCAAGTATTAGCCCCGCCCACCCACCCACTTTTTTTCTTAGAGAATATGTCATCTGCCACAATCAGTCTTTCTTAGCAAGTACTAGCCCCGCCCGCCCGCCCTCTCTTTCTTGGAAGGTATGTTATATGCCAAAATCAGTCTTATCGTAGCAAGTACTAGCCCCGCCCACCCCCCATCTGCCCATTCTAACGACTAATTTTATTTCTGTTCAGTATAAGACCATGTATTTCATTCAAATCGGATAAAAGAAATCACTGAAAAGGAGACAGGGTGGGTGGGCGGGGCTAGTATCTGCTAAGATAAATTTGATTTTGGTAAATGACATACCCTCTAAGAAAATAAAAAATGGGTGGGAGGGGCTAGTAAAAAACCATTCGTATCTTAGCAAGTACTAGCCCCGCCCACCCGCCCTCTCGTTTCTTGGAAGGTATGTCATATGCCAAAATCAGTCTTATCTTAGCAACGTACATATTCAATGCAATTCCAGAAAAATACAAAGGCCAAAAATTTTGAAAAAGGCACAGGAATTCGCTTTAAAAGTCAAATTTTTAAAATGTGTCAAAAACTGTTATATTTCATATCGGCGATTTTGGAAAAGTAATAGGAATTCTCCAAGAAGTGAATTCACGAAAAACTTCATGTGATCGAGATCAACAAAAAATTATTTTCCTTTGCTAAATTTGGAAGGAATCCGAGGGAAAGTTGAGCTTTTGTGTTAAGTTGGCCAAAAATTGACCGCAAATTTTGTGAGATAGTTGTAGGTGAGCTAATTGCAAAAATATGGCATGTTGAAAGTCTGGGTCCAAGACTGAAGGCTCTCATAGAAAAATCCGGGATAAGGACATTATTAAGGACATATTCAGCGCGATTCGGAAAACCTGAGAGGCTAAAAATTAGAAAAAAAATTGAGCTTACACAGGTCTATCAAAACAAATAGTCTCAATTTGATATGACAATTGGTTTTCGCTGTTGTCGGTCTCAAAGTCAACTTTTTAAAATATCTCAAAAAATGTCAAAATGGTGTGAATTTTCGAAGAACTGAAGCCGTTAGAAACTTCAATTGATCGAAGAATTGCATAGGCAAATAAGAAATATCATTCTGGCTGAAGAGATCGAAGTAACAAGAATATCATTTTCGTTAGGTTTCGAAGGTTCTCAAAGAAAAGTCAAACATTTCAAACTTTTCAAAATTTTGAAAAACTGAGCTCACAAAATTGCTTAGAAATCCAAAAAAATCCGGGATTTAGATCTCGACGTGCTGATTAAAAAAATACAGCATATTTATCCTTCGGGAGCAAAATTGAGGGCTAGTACCGAAAATTCCGGAGTAATTCTGCTGTGTTAAGGACCTACTTCGAAAAATGGATGGTCAAAAATTACAAAAATTTATCCGGGAAAATAAACCGACACCGACAAGCGGCGCTTGGGAAAAGAACATTTCATAGAAAAATCAACCTTGTGGTGAAGGTGCCGTACAATCTACAAAGAATTCCGCACTAAGATTAAAGCCAAACATTGAAAATTTCGCAGCAATCGTAAGATTTTTGTGAACGGCATATTTATATTGGGTGATTTTTTAAATTTCTGCTCTAGTTGGCCATGACGCTTGTGTCAGCCGTTTCAATTGCGCT